TGTTATCTAACTTTTTCTGTGATCGTGACCAAAAATACACATGCAGGGAACACAGGTCTACACAATCGAAATGCGTAATTTGTAATGTTGCAGTTAGTATATCACAAAAAGGCTGCAAATATTTAGGTGATAATGAAATCCTCTGCAAACAACAAAATAGTCCTGCTCCTATTTTCTCTAAAAGACCCCTTTGGCTAACCGTGTAGTTTAGATTTCTACAAACAAGTTCTGAAATGTGTGTGATTCTTCTTGCACTAGTTTTGCACAGTAGTGGAAGAAGTACTCAATTTTGTTACTTAAATGTGCACTATGTAACTTTTTGGTTGGGGTTCTGTCATTCCTTTGCCTGGAATGCAAAAAACATTCACATTTGTTTCCCAATTTTAGTATTTTTTAGGTTTAAAATTTTGCTTTCTGGTTGGAAATCATGACATGACACTAGGGAATTCCTTTACTGTCACTTAAAAAACTCCTCTAATGTTCACATAAATGATTATCTGACAAATACAAATAGAAGAAAACACCTTTATTTTGTTGAATTAATATGTAAAGTATCAGAAAAAAAAGTTTGTTGTGTAAATTATGCCAAACTTTTACAATTGTCCCTAACATGATATCATCAGCGTATTCAGAACTCTCCACTTCCTGTAATTTTCACCACATTTTTCTACTTTTCTTCGCAAATTGCTTCTTGATTTGTGTAGAACTATAATTTATATTATCCCGCTAAATTAAGTCTAAATTAGAGAATCATAAAAATCTGTCAAATACACTTTCAACCCTAAATGACAAGTCTAATCACAACTGCAATATTAAAAGCATAATTGCAATTACACTATATTACTTTTACAAAACAGAGCCTCACCCAACCTTAATCACAGACAGACTTACAAGGACTTTACAAGGCTTTCAAAGTGGGATTAACAAGAGTACCCATAAAAGAATGAGACAGGGAAGCGCTTAATAATTCGATACAAATGGCTGCGAGAAATACAAGCAGGAAGGTGTACAGAACCCAAAGAAACACTGTAGATTTTGATACTAAGGAACAGACTCAGTACACAATCAGATACCATGATGATAAAAAACAAGCAAAAAAAACTCTTTCTTTAGACAATAGAATGTGATTTTAATTATTAAATTATAGTACTTTCTTTTATATTACCATGTGGCCTTATATCTGTGTAATCCCTCAGTCGTCCAGGTAAATTCCATAGTGGTCCATGGGCGTATACTAGTCTGTGTGCTCTTGTACTTACTCTGATAAAGCTCAAGTTTATTCTAAAGATATTCAGGAAAGGTTCATTTTTTGTCTGATATCTTGCTGAAGTAAATATAGATGATAAAGGATAATATGGAAACCAAACCATAAAGCAGAATTATCCCCTAAATGCACACTATTGTTAAAAAAATATAAGCTGCAATAGATAAATAACAAAATGCAACAAAATGCATCTTAAAGGTGTATTGTGTAACTTTGTTGGTAACTTTTTCATAGTGATGTTATTGCTTTGCCTGAAATGTTCCACAGGAGAATCTTTCTTGCATTTATTCAATTACAGGTGTTTTTATTGCTTAAAAACATGAGCATGGACGTCTCTCCACAGATCTGACAACTTGGCTGGGTAGTGTCACTTACATATGTTTAATGCAGTACTGTGGAGCCTTCTGGACAAAGTAACAACATCTCCACGGAGCCTCTTCACCAGAAAAGTGACACTGTGCACCTTTAAGTAGTTAGTCTGTATCTATAATGAGTCATAGAAGTCATATCTTTCTATTTTATTTTTACTTGTACATATACATTTGCATAATTGTGTCTTATTTGACACCTCTCTCTTGCTATCTTTTTTGCTACTTATATAGAATTTATTATTACCATTTATATTTTGTGATATATATTGTGATGTGTGAGCTACTGTGTCCAAATAATTTCCCTTGTGGATCAATAAAGTTAGTCTTAGTCTAAAAAAAGCACCCATGATAAATACTGACCCCCAAAAATGTCATGTAGTTTCGATACGCTGACAATACATCTTGAATCTGAATCTGCTCATTTTACTATCGAGTTGTTTTGAGTACTTTTGACAACACTACTAAGAAGTGAGTTTGACAGACAACTTCAGGTCCTGGCTGTTTAGCTGGGGGTAATAGGCAACAAACAGCTGTCTGTCAGTGTTTTGGTGATGAAACGCCATGCAAAACCTCTCTCCTGGTTTAAACAACTTGTCCATGAAATATTAATGTTGATTAAATTTCCTCTCATTAAAGTGAGTGAGGCTGGGATCACCATGTCCTGTCACTCTGCGCTGAGCTTCCGCCACACCAACTGTCTTTCACAGGGGAGATAATAATCAGAGACATTACGCAGCTTGCTGAAGTAGCCTATGGCTTCCAGGGGTTTAGCAAAGGTGGGTACTTTGCAGAGACGTCATGCTGGGGGTGTTGTACATGTAAATCTATGGGGTTACCATGGAGGCACAATGCACACGCAAGCAAACACTGTCAAAAAAGATTTAAACTACACATTTTCAGGAGCCTGCATGTTTAATTTTCAACAAAAAATTGACCGTGACTAAATGAAACTCACACTAGCCTTTTTAATTGTAATATTGTTTAAGAGAGTCTTGTTTGGCAGTAAAAATCAGCTCACCTGTTGTAGTTCCAACTAATTCAGTACTTTCTGGTCAGGTTGTGTTGAAATAAAACTCAGATTAAAGTCTAGCAAAGCCTCAGACAGAGCAGTGCCTACAGTTAACATCACACCCCCAGGGAATGTTGATAATCCACTGCAATTTGTGAATGTAGGCAAAAAGGTTGTGTTCAAATGGCTTCACAACAAAATCCTTACAGTTTAAAATGGATCTGGAGGACAGGTTAAAAATCAGACTGTCAGATTACAGATTTGTTGTCAGCTTGTCCTGGTTTGTAGTTAATATTTCTGCAATTATTGAGCCAAATGAAACGAAAACTGGCACAAAGTCCAATCTCTTCTCTCTCAGTCTTCAAAAAGTGGTGCCATTATTCAACCCCAAAGACATGATTGCTGTCAGCTGAAAGGACGGACTTCGCGCTGAAAGATTAATATGACAAGTATTCTGTAGTCAGTCAATCCCTACATTTATGCATCATAAATTTGTAATATTTCTTTGAAAAATGGAGAGTTACACAGACCTCTGCCCTTTATCTGAAATGATAACATAAAATTTTAGAACATGAACGCACATGTTATCTATTTATAAAGAACTTAAATTATCAAGGTGAATCATTTAATTACCCCTATTTCATGTACTCTTTGTGTATTCTGTTTGTTTTCTTGTATGTATGTTTATAATTTGTATGTATGTATGCAATAAAAAAGAAAAGTAATAGTAATTTTGGTATTACAGAATCAATATCACGAGCAGATATATCAGTGTATCGCAAAGAGTGTTTTTTGCGGATATTTTACTAAATTATTTGTCGCGATTATGAAGAAAATAACTTATTTATGCTATACATTTAACATATTCACTGTCTTGAATGTCTGTTTTTCATATTAAGGTCATGCAGGTAGTGGGATAAAAATAGTGACTAGTGATACAACGTTCGCCCACCAACACAAAGGTCAGCGGTTTGATCTCCGCTCCAACTACAACATGCTGTCATTGTGTCCTTGGGCAAGACTCTTCACCCACTTTGCCTGTATTAATGTGATGTTTGAGCAAGTCATAGGTGGTGGTTGGAGGGCTGATGGTGCAGCTTGGCCTACAGTCAGCATGAATGAATAATGCAATCTAAATAATATAAATTAACTTGAGGAGTACATGCGACCACTGACTGGGCTTGGCCTAGAGCAGTGGTTTCCAACATTTTTTCTCATTGTAACCCCCATTTTACCAGTGAATGCATTGCGTAACATTTCTAGTGGAGGGTTCGCCATCTACTTGTCTCCGTAGAAATGTTATTGCTTGGACTAGAACAGACATGTCAAACTCAGGCCTGGGGCCAAATTTAAAATTGTATTATTATTTTAAATTATGCTTGTTCTGGATTCAATGTTTAAGCAAAACTATTATTAAACATTTATTTTAGTTAAAAAAAAAGGTTTAACATTACATATCTCGAAAGAAGAGGAAACTTGCAGATGTTGTTTGAAATTTTTCAGTAAATATTTAGTTTGGCTCACGACTTAGCTCCAGTTTTTACTTTTGTGCTCTCTGTGTGAATTTGAATGTTGTGACACCCCTGGACTAGTGTGTGTGAATGTGTGTGTGTGACAATGTGTGTGTGTGAATATCTATCGTGAGGGAGACAAGCGCTAGAATTTACAGCACTAAGCTACGTTACAGTTCAGATCTGTGGAGAGTCGCCCTTATTCTCAGAAGGATGTTGAAGAATGTTTAAGGTCATACGATCATGGAGCATCCCAGGCAAAGCAGTAACATCTCCATGGAGAAAAGTAGGTAGCGGACCCTACTTGTCTCCTTGGAAATATTATTGCTTGGACAAGAACATTCTACAGTAGTATTTATTACAAGGGAGACAAGCAGGTTACAGCACTACTCTACGTTACAGCTCAGATCTGTGGAGAAAAAATATTTTTTGTATTTTTGAGCAGCAGAAACATCCGTGATTATGCTTAGTGTCATGCCATGGAACATTCCAGGCAAAGCAATAACATCTCCATGGAGAAAAGTAATTAATAAAGATGTTTTAGCACGGTAAGCCTAATTACTATCCAGTGAAAACAGTTCAAGTTGCTCGCTTTTTTAGAAACCAATGGAGACACGCCGAGAATCCTGTGAGCCATGGGTTGTGCATTTATGTCCTATAGGATAATATGTACGCTATATAGTGTGATCTGTGTACGTGCTGTCACAGCCTTTTCCCAGGCCCTTGAGAGTTGAGCGTGCAGCCTTCAGCCCAGTCCAAAGAGCATCTTCAATTACACCCTATAGAAATCACCACACATGCACAAAGGCTACAGTTTTTTTTTCCTATAGAAGAATGTCACATACCTCTTTGAGCTCTTTGGCGACATCCTTCAGGTCTCCCAAGATGTTTTCCAGATTTTCCACGATTGTCTTGATCTCCTTTTTCACTTTAACTTTGGAGACTGCTCCTTCAGCTTCTGCATTGGACGGCCCGGACATTCTTCAGTTTATCCCACAATTTTAATTCGGTAAGGAGTCGTATCCTTTGGTCGCCACGCCACCACGTTGCCAGAGCATTGTCATAGGCTAGCACTCCCCCCTTTTTTATTTATTTATTTTTTTACCTCTTGACTTTTTGGTGCTCCTAAATCACATCGCGGCCAGGACGGAGCGAAGTGACCACTGCCGTCTGTACGATTAGGCATGCGCAGTAGAGCGGAACACAGCGAATCACCACTATGTCAAAATAATGTCTCATACTGTCTAAGAAACGGAGCTTGTCTACAGGTTTTCGCTGCTCATTCTTAAATATAATGAAGCAACACAAAATAATGCCACCAGTTATTTTTGAGTCGCGAAAATCCTTTGGAGATCAACATTTTCCGGATAAAACACAGCAATAAATTACGAGATAGTGACCAAAACACGGATAAAATAGATTTGTAGCAATGCAACAGTAATCCCGAGTCACCACGCTGTCTCAATTAGGTAAAAAACCCACTAATAATCCAGTTGGCACCGTGGACACTAAACATTACGCAGCTCCTCTCGTGTAATAAACGTGCGTAAATCCAAGAAACCAGCCAGGTAACGGGGGACCAGGGGCAGTCTTTTCCAATGAACGCGCCACTCTGTCCATCGTGGTTCACATCGCAGCCTCCTCGCAGTCTGCCGTGTGTGATGCTGCTAGGATGGCTCTCTCCAGTTCTCCCTCCCTCCTCCTTCTCCTCCTCCTCCTTCTCTCTCTCTTCCTCTCCCTCTCTCTCTCTCATTGCCTTATAGTTTGACACTACTCATGCATGTCGAGCCCCAAGCTATTATTACAGTTTTGATGGCAACAGCTCATTAAAAACTGCATAGTGGGAATTAGTCTGGTTCTGGTGGCAGTCTATGCACAGGCTGTAATAGATGCGTGTTCTGTGAATGGCATGTTGGCATAGGGAATGGGGTATAGGAAGAAGGGTATGTTGTTTGATATTTAAAGGTTCTGTATTGTAAACAAAATGGATTCTTTGTGAGCTTTAAGTTATGTTCTTATTACTTCATCAAATACATACAAAGAGTTGAGTTTTGTTTCATTCACACATGTTTGAGTAATTCGCCCACATTTCCAAAGCTCAAAGTCTGTGTTACCACTGACCTTTTAGTTCAGTAAAGCTTGGTTGAAATTATCCATATGATTCTACAGTAGTGAAGGTGCATGGGATTTAATAACACAGCAAAGCAATTCCTGTATTACCACATGACATCACAAGGTGGAATAGAGGGTTTTCTGTTTGAGAGAAAAACACATTTTAAATATGCAGGATTTGTGTGTTAAACGTTTGAATAAAACAAAACACACCTCCAGGTATGTTTGTGATGAGGAAACAACATTATAACAGATCAGAAAATAGTGTAATATGGATCCTTTAAATGTACAAATGTGACCTATTGTATAAAGCTGAGATTTTATATTTTATTACTTATCTTTCTACTTTTATTTAAAAATAATTTTTACTTGTACATTTACATTTATATAATTATGCCTTATTTCACACCTGTCTCTTGCTGTCTTTTGCTACTTATTTACAATTTATTATTACCATTTATATTGTTGTTCTTTGTTATTATATTATATTGTGATGTGTGAACTACTGTGTCCAAGTAATTTCCCTTGTGGATCTATAAAGTTTTTCTAAGTCTAAGTCTGTATATTGAACCAAATAATTTCTATTAGCCTTTTGACTAGACCCAAGAACTCACTTCATTAGAAAAAAATAAAAAATCAATCTGTGAAATAATACAGGCCTTGCCAGTTCCATTATTTACACATTTGCACTAACTCCTCAAAAATATGAGTGGGCTTCCTCTCCACAGCTCTGGCTTGTAACTTGGCTTGGTGTGGCCACATGCTTGTTTCCATAGAGATAGCTTATTTATTTATTTGGTTTATTTAATGGGGACAGAGAGACTATTTTTCATTTATAGTCCCTGGACAGATGACAAACATGGTCACCAGAAAAACATCACAATAAGCATTATACAAAAAGTGCAACTGTGCATAACAGTTCAATTATAAGAATACAAACAGACACTAACAACCATAACCACAATGTAGGCAATGAGAAAACACACTAGAGCACACAGACAGAAGACACACGCTCGGGTATTAGTGGAGTTACATATTAAATTCAGAAAAGTACATAGTGCAGCTTTAATAAATAGCCTAATAAAGCTTTAGTAAATGAATAGCCTGGCCTAAATCAATAATAATAAGTAATTTATCTTATTTTTATTTACAAATCAGAGGTCAGAGTCTGGAGATGGGAACAAACTGTTATTTTCTCATGTTCAAAGTAGAAATATGACGAGTTAGCTGCTGCTCTCTGATTGGTCCGCTCCCTGACAGCCCCGCCCCCAACGCGGAAGTGACTCTCCACTTGTTTGGCTGTCTCTCCTCATGACTCCCTGAGCACCTCTTCTTTTGCTTCGTGTGTTTGCTTGTTTTTCACAGTTAAAGGAGACAAGTGATGGCTCTTTCATTCGCGGGGAGGGTTGTGCTCGTCACCGGAGCTGGAGGAGGTAAGAACTGAGTGCGAGGGTGACAGCGATGCTAACTATGCACTACAAGCCAAAAGTGGAAAAGGAAACTATTTTAAATGCAATATTTTCTCAAAAAAGCTGCAATTTCGTTGGTTTGACATTGTCTACTATTGACTACTTGACTACTATACTACTGACTACTTGCCTAGCGGTCATAGTGCATGAAGTAACAATGGCCCACTTTCTTATTGCTGTTGTAAGTGTGTGAAAGTTCATCTCTTTATGTTTTTTGTTTCTGCAGGACTGGGGAAAGCGTATGCACTGGCTTTTGCTGAAAGAGGTGCTTCAGTTATAGGTAAATATGCATTGTACACTACCGGTCAAAAGTTTTAGAACATCCTAATTTTTCCAGTTATTATTTACAATTCAAGTCGTGCAAGTCCAATGAAGAGCTTGACATGGTACAAAGGTGAACTGAACAGACAGAGGTTAAAAAAAAGATAAAAGATAACAAACATAAGTCCAAGCTATGCCAAAACTACCACAGGAAAAAGAAAAACATAGTAAGCTTGAAAACATGAAGTGGCCATCACAGTCTCCAGATTTAAACCCCATCGAGCTGGTTTTGGGATGAACTGGACAGAAGAGTGAAATCCAAGCAGCCTACAAGTGTCACATATTTATGGAAACTTCGGCAACAGATTTGGGAAGAACTTTCTGAAGAATATTTGATTTCTATTGTAAAAAGAATGAGCCAAAAGTGTGTTCAGCTCTTATATCTGCCAAAGGTGGACACTTTCATGAATCAAAAGTTTAGGATATGTTTTGGTCAACAGTAAAAAAACTGGAAAAAGTGTGGTGTTCTAAAACTTTTGACTGGTACTGTATATCGATTACACAAAATTTACTCTTGTGAGCTTTTGGGTCATAATGTTGTTACATCATCACAAGTAAACCTGGAGTTGTGTTTTGCTTAATGCACACATATTTGAGTAATCATGCATTTTTAGACTATCAGCATCTCAAAATATTCCACCTTTTAATGTCATGAAGCGGTAGTTTTCAAGTTAACAGCTACCTTTTTATCTTTTTAGTTTAGTACAGATTGGAAATGATGGCTGAAATGATCTAAATGATTCTAGTGAAGGTATATAAAGTTTAAAAACACTGTGGAGCAATTCCTTTATTATGACATGGCATCACAAGGAGTGTTTTCTGTTTGAGAGAGGAAGAATGTGTTAAATGTGTGAATGAAACAAAACACAAGTCCAGGTTTGTGGTGAGGAAACAACATTATAATAACATAGAACAGAAAATCGCTTTCATTATTATCCTTGTAATCAAACATTTTCTTGTCAAAATCTAACGGCTGCACTAGTCAATAATAAGTGGCAAGTCTTATCAACAATTTTATGACACCTTAGGCCTAGTTTTCAATTAAGATTTTATTATATTTGTTATATAGGGACTAGAGACTTTATATTGACCTGAGAAGTAATTAAATCTCTCCACAGTGTGTGAGTGGTCATACTTTGATTACCCACCCCTAGCTGTAGAAATTGCAAGGTTCATGTGCACAATCTAAACAACAGAGAGAACTATATACTAGGGGTCAGTGTTGAGATAACTACCACATGTGCAGGTGATGCAACTGGAATACTGAACTGAATTGTGGCCTTGAAATATTGCATAACCGTCACACACTATAGGAGAATTTGCTCGGCTGCGCTCCTCGTGTGTGGGGTGTCAGTGTGACTGGCCTGCTCTGTCATATCGTATCGTTAGGGGGCAGACAGAGTGACGGACGCAAAGGCGCAAGATACAAACTCAGGAAACAGCGAAAATAATGAGGAGACTTATTACTCGCCTCTTGTAAAGTGATAAATTTAAGCAGCAGCATCTCATCCATATTAACCATAGAATTTTCCCTCCAGAAATAATGACGTCCAGTCCACAAAATCGCATTATTAATTCATTTTGAGGCGTTCTTTAAAGCACGAGGATCAGGGTGAAGCTGCACAGTAGTGATTGATACTCTACTTCCTGAGTTCTTCTCTCAAACAGGAAAACAGTCTGTTCCACCTTGTGATGTCATGTGGTAATACATGTTCCACTATGTTTTTAAACTCCATACACTTTCACTAGAATCGTAGCAGTAAAGGTAAAAAGTAGCTGTTGACTTGCAAACTACCACTACATCACATTACAAGGTGGAAGAGAGCATTTTGAGCTTTGGAAATGTAGACAAACTAATCACAAAGGATTACTCACACGTGTGAATGAAACAAAACATCTCCGTGTTGTTTTTGAGAAGGAACCAAGATTATAATCCAAACACAAGCAGAGTTATTTTGTTGCTTCAAAAATAAATGAAAAATTACATAATTATGCTATGAGGATAACAATAATGTTTTTTTTTCCACTAACATAGAACAGTAAACCTAACCTCTAACTGGTAACTTCTGTCTTTCCTTTTCATCACGGTGACTGGCTTCAAATCCCAGGGGTTACTGTTACTATTTTATGAATACAAATTATTCAATTCTAAATAAAGACCGTGAATCCTGCCTTGGATCTGATCACAGGACTATAAATATCATGTATTTGCCTTTTGTTCTTGCTGTGTTACAGTGAATGACCTCGGGGGAGATATTAAAGGAGGTGGGAAGAGTTCTGCTGCGGCGGATAAGGTGGTGGAGGAGATTAAAGCCAAAGGAGGCAAAGCAGTGGCCAACTATGGTGAGTATGAGAAACTATTGTACGGCATTGTCTACATCTGTATAGTACATCTTTAGAATGTGTCTGTGTATTTAAGCACATCTCAAATACAATGTAGTGATGCTATTTAGGACTGCAACCATTAATAGACTCACTGTGACTTATCAACTATAAAAAGAAGCTGGGGGAAAAATATAGGGGGAAAAAAATAAAAAATAAACTTTTAAAAAGTGTTACATAAAGAAATACATAATTTAATAATAAACTAAAAATTTTGAAATAAACGACTCATTATAAATAAAGTTAATAACTGTAAATAAATAACCTGTCATAGATAGATACACACACACACACACACACACACATATATACACACACACACACACACACATACACATTTACATACATATTTTATTGATCCCCAGAAGGGGGGATTCAGGTGCCCATGTAGCTCACATTCACACATTTCATCACACACTAAAAACAGTTTTAAAAAAAAATTGTAAAAGGTTGGGCACGACTTGCAAAGTTCGTGTGCATAAAGTGTTAGTTCTGCAGGGTGACGGGTGGGGTTATGACAGGCTATAGACCCTGATGGCTGTGGGGACAAAGGATTTCTTGAACCTTTCAGTCCTACACCAGGTGAGAGGAGCCGTCTGCCACTGCTGCTCCTCTAATGGTACCAGCACTGTACCCTGCGGTGCTCCTGTGCTGCTCAGTACAGTAGCAGACATACAGTTGCCAAGCCTGACAAACTGTGGTCGTCCAGTCAGATAGTCCGTTATCCACCTGGTGAGTGATGAATCCAGCCCCAGGACATCGAGTGTCTCCTTCAGCGTGGAGAGCTGCCAGGTGTCTCCAGATAATGATAGATTTGGTCAAGCATGTAGATGATTGTATCCTTTACTCCCATTCCCCCACGGTAACTAAACTGAAGGGGATCCATTCCATGTTCCACCTCTGGTTTAATGAGGCGCAGAACAAGCTGCTTTGGAGTCTTTATAAGTGCTACCGGTCTATAGTCCTTCATCTCTGCTCAGCGAACAACTTTAGGGATCGGCACAAGACAGGATGTTTTCCACAGTGTCGGGACTCTCCCCTTCTCCAGACATTGGTGGAAGATCCTGTGCAGTGGTGGTGCTAACTGAGCCGCACAGTCTTTGAGTAGTGTGGGACACCCACCATCCGGACTTGGGGCTTTTCCTGGGCACAGCCTTTTAAGCTCTGTCCTTACCTCCTCCACAGTGAGTGCCACACCTGGGACTCCTGGATTTACTTGCAGGGCCTCAGCAGCATTGATGGAAAGAGGGGCTATGGATGTTATAGGGGCAGCAGTCATAGATTTGTGTGGGACTAGAAGCAGTGGAGAGATAGCACCACCATGCGGTGTCACTGGAGTAGGCACAGCAGTGACAGGGGAATTAAACCTCTTAAAGAATTGGTTTAATTAATTTGCCCTACTCACATCACCTACTATGCTCTGGCTGTACATCTTATAGCCAGTGATATTCCTCATGCCATTCCACACTTCCCGATTGTTGTAGAGTCGCAGCCTACTCTCCACCTTATTTTTGTAGTCCCTTCTAGCCTGCCGGAGTGTCTTTTTAAGCCTCTTTTGGACGGGCCTGAGTTTGTCTCTGTCCCTCTCCTTGAATGCTAGCTTTTTTTGGTTCAGGATACATTTTGCACTGCTTGTGATCCATGGTTTATTGTAAGGATAGCAGTGGAATGTCCTGACAGGAATAACAGGGTCTACAAAAAATTATATATTCTGTTATAGTGTCCACTTTCCAGTCTATGTCCATGTCTACGCAAGAGCCCTGTGACCCCAACAACTCATCCCAGTTTGTGTAATCAAAGCAGTTCTGGAGAGACTCACTGGCCTCTCTTGACCATTTCCTGAATGACTTGATGGTAATGGGCATTCACTGCACACATGGTTTGTATGTGGACTGAAGGAAGACCAAATTATGGTCTGATCTACCTAAAGGTGGAAGGGTAATAGAATTGTATGATTCCTTAGCATTTGTTCCAGTGTTTGTTTTTTTCTGGTCGGACAGTCAACATAATGTACAAAACCAGATAGGCTGGAGGAGAGGTGTTTATCTTGTATCCTTGCGACAGCTCCATGAATGATGTCGCAGGTCCGCTGCCGCCTTCAGAGTAATGTAAACAGCAGTGGTGACGATGTGTGAGAACTCGCAGGGAACATAATATCGTCTCATCCCCACCACCAAAAGTTCAGTGTCTCGGCAGCAGACCTTTTCTTTGACCGCAATGTGTGCCGCGTTGCGCCATTTACTCTTCTCAAAGATCACCAGACCCCCTCTTTGCTCTTCAAAGTCGCTCTAGGGTCCCTGTCCGCTCGCACCACTGTGAAGCCAGGTAAGTCCACAAAGGAGTCGGGCGTGATGTCATTCAGCCAGGTCCCACAGGGTGCTTTAACATCAATCTTCAACTTCAAAAATGCCCTGAATTTAGCCTAGTGTGAGAAATGCTACAGTCAGACTAGATCTAAACCAGACTCCTGAGCCTGGTTTGAACCAGAGCTGCTCCTCGCTGGTTCAGATGACCTGGAGCAGGGAGTGATGTTAGGTGGAAGAACCAAGTGCACGGAGGATGGACCAAACCAAATTGGATTGTTATATACACACGAATTACACGGACATGCTGCCACCGCTGACAGCAACCCATTCGTGCTGAGCATGCGTCTTGGTTCAGTAATACCTTTAACTTTTTAAAATGACTTTTTGTTATTTTCTAACAATAAGAATAATGGCAATACATTCCATGGCTCGATAAACTGAAGTGGGTTGCATTTGATTGGATCTGCACACAGGAAGCACACCATGTTTATTTAATATAGTTGTGAGTATCTGAGAAAAAAGTTAATTTGTCATAAATAATACGTGAAATTTTTGTTAAAATAATATTTCTAATAAATGTTTAGCAGTTTACATTTTACAGTCAGCCAGGCCAACTGTTGGTTCTGTATGGGCAACCCAAAATTATTTGTGCTCCTTTATTCTGGGCGACTGGTGATCTGTGCAAGTTATTTTTACAACAGAACAACAGATGCATAATCCATCTGAGAAAGAACTAATGACTGCACTAATTCTTTGGTCAAACACTGGGATACTTTTTCTGTCTGATCATGGCCGTACTCTGACCCATTTTCTGTAATACATGAATTATATGACTGATCCACGTTAATTTAAAGTCTACTATTACACCCAATAATTTAATTTATGGACATAGCGAACGCACTAGTTGCCGCGTTCCAAACAAGAAGTTCACATGCGGCACTTCCAGCTCCTACTGACTTCCTGACTGACTACTTTGGAATGTTGTGGCCCCTCCCTCTGTAACTGCTCCAGTGATTCCTGTCATTTTGGTCTTAAAATGTTCATATTAATCCCCCCCTACATGATCCTGGTGGTTTTATTTCACAATTTTGTCCGTAAAAAAAAAAAAATCCTATAATAGTAAAGTAAAATATAAAGTCTGGCTCCAAATTCGTTCCTGTATCTGCTAGCATCATGCGCTCAATTTGAGTGGAGTCAAACGCTATGGGGGACGTCACACTCGCTTAGTCTGCGTTTTTTTGGGTTTTTTTTTTTACAGTCTGTGGTGAGAAGTGGACTAAGAGTGTGACGTCACTCATAGCGTCTGGCTCCAGTCAAATGAAGCTCATGGATGCCTGCAGTCATAGGATTTGGAGGAATTTATTTACGTATAGTGTAGTGAAATGAAAATGCCCGGATCATGTAGAGCGGGTTACTTCATATGAATATTTTAACACCAAAATGACGACACTTGCAGCAGCAGTTACCGAGCCTGGGGCCACAATTTTCGATGGAGCCAAAAGTGCCGCCATGAACTGTTCTCCGAGTTTTAAAAAAGAAATACTTACAATTTTTGTAACTGATCAAAGAACATAATATAATTTCATGTCTCCTATAACAGTGTTATTTCTCTCTTTAGATTCTGTTGAAGATGGAGAAAAGCTGATACAAACAGCCCTGGAATCTTTTGGAAGAATCGGTAAATAAAACCAGGTCAAAATCTACTAAGGAAGTGCGTAGGGGTTGTCCAAAGTATCAGAAATCGAATACTGATTGATACTAAATCTAGTATTGAGACTAGATACTCATTTGAACAAATATTGATACTAAAAAGGTAACATTCACAGGACAAAAATGAACTTGTCGTGAATATCTTTAGAATGATCTTGAGCTGTATTAGAACAAGTATAATAACACTAGTATACACACTAGTATGGACCACTATAGCCATTTTCACACACTTCCACCAGAGAACATGCTGAGAATCTTAGCAGGATCTTGTCCCAATTACCTCATTCACATATGCCACCATAGCAGGCTATTGGGCGTACACCAGTTCACACACCTGAGTAAATGAGCCAATTGTGGCGGAGGCAAAGACACGTGCACTGCAATGAAAAATAAATTAGGACACTGGTCATAACTTTCCACTGCCTATTAAACAGGCTAAATAAATTCTCAAGTGTAGCCGGTCTAGCCATAAATATCAAAATAAATAAAGTAAATCACACACTCTCTCAAAAGCCTGGTGATTGGTCACAGCGTTACACACTGTTCAGTGGATTACTGCATCACATGCTCCAGTGTTGAGATCTCACTTTTCGGTCAGGAGAAATCTTGGTTGCCTTTATCTCTTTGTACGTCTGTCTTGCATTGACCCCATAGACCAGACATGACAGACTATATTTAGCCCGCGAGATCATGTCAAATATCTATTAGAGCTGGCCCGCCGGCTACAGATGGGCTATAGAGACATTATTTATTTAAAATTGTGTTATTATTTTATATTATGCTTGTTCTGGATTCAGTGTTTAAGCAAAACTATTATTAAACATTTATTTTAATAAGAAAAGGTTTAACATTACATATCTCGATAGAAGAGAAAACATGCAGATGTTGTTGAAATTTTTCAATGAATATTTAGTTTGGCCCATGGCATAGTCCCAGTTTTTTATTCTGGCCCTCTGTGAATTTAAGTTTGACACCCCTGCCATAGTCTGTATTTGACATACCCATTGAGCTGATTAATGCATCTACTGCACACCAGTGTTAAACCTCAGTTTAATGAGAGGACATGTTTGGCACACGTATTCACACAAACGGGCTGCCAGGATAATGTTTGGACAATAGTTCTGTGGCATGGTGTGTGTGAAAATGTCTTATGGACCCTACCTGGATGACTGAGGAGTTACCCAGATATAACAATGCAGGGTAATACACAAGAATGTACTATTCTTTAATGCTGAAAATCAAACTGACACCATAATGAGAATTAAAAACACTCTCGCTTCAGACAGAGTCTGTACATAGTATTGAGTCTATACCTTAGCATTGAAACTGAGTTTGAAATGTTATTATCATGGCAACACTAAACTGTACCTAAACTGACCTCTACAAAATGTACTTTGTTACAGATGTGGTTGTGAACAATGCGGGGTAAGTATAACACTTTTTATAGATGTAATCATAGCCAGGCTGGTGGACTTTTGATTGAAGGTGTTAAGATACATGAGATGCAGTAATCATGTAAAATATGGTAAATTTGTCACAAACATTGAAGTCTAACATTTTTGCATTTTTGTGTAGGATCCTTCGTGACCGCTCGTTTGCCAGGACCAGTGACACAGACTGGGGTAATTATGTTTTTTATGTCACCCTTGCTGTCTCACTAGTTTGTCTGATTAAAGAAAATTCAGTCTTACAATTACAAATAAATGTTTTAGGCATATTTTGGAAACAAAATTTATTAAAGACGCTCTCTCTAACTTTTCAAGTTTGAGGGCTATGATTTACTTGTCTCCGTGGAAAATATTATTGCTTTACCTTGAATGTTCCACAGTATGGAATTTTAATTCACGCATTTATTCAATTACTTGTTTTTTTATTTCACATTAAATGCCTTGAAAAACATACATTCTGACATGTAACTTTGATCACCTACTTGTCTCCATATGACATGCTCAACATTCCAGGCATGGTTATAATTTATTTTTGTTATACGAGTCTAAACCATGAAATATTATCTTGACCAAACCACTCACTTCTGTATATCATATAAAGTGTAACAGTTTCCTGGACTGGTTGTTTCATTCATTTCTGTTTATCCTGTTGACCCATTTCACAGTGAGATTAATGTTTTACTTTTCTGTTCCAGATCTTATCCACAGAGTTCACTTGAGGGGCTCGTTTTTGGTGACTAGAGCGGCCTGGAATCACATGAAGAATCAAAAATTTGGCAGGTACCCAATCTCTGTCCTATTCCTTACACAGCAGTGGGGCGCCCTGGTAATTCATTTTAACCCCATCAGTGTTAAATATTATTGACCTATAGAATGTTGTGATTGCCATGAATCTGATGACACAATACATGTCAAGGTATGCAGGTCACAATACGATCACGGATACTAAAATAAAAGACCATATATTGAAATTTATCAATAATTACTTCTATTATTATAGACCCACGATTACATAGTCAGTATTTGTATTAAAGGTCCTATATTATTGTGAGTGTTTGAGTTGTGTTTTTTTTCATTCACACATGTAACACTTTATTATTAGGCTGTATACGTTTCCAAAGTTAAAAATGCTCTGTTCCACCTTGGCATGTCATGAAGCAGTAGTTTTCAAGGCTGCCTGTTACGCTTTGTTTAGCAATTTGGCAATTCCAGGACTGAAAATATCCAAATGATTTTAGTGAAGGTGCATGGAGTTTTAAAACAGTGTAGCAGTTTCCTGTATTTTCACATGACCTCAAAAGGTGGAACAGAGTGTTTTCAGTTTGAATGAAGAACTATGCAGGGTTTCATGTTTGAATGAAACATAACACAGCGCCAGATATGGTTTTGATAAGGACGACAACATTATAACATTGTTCATTAAATGGCGGAAATCTAATTATAAATGCAATACAGATTTCATTTCATTTATAAAGAGAAGACTTTTGGGTCATTGTTACTTTTTAGACAAAACCAAGACTTCTTTACAATATGAACCTGGCACCGATAAGAAATGTATATTTGCAGAGCTGCTTGTAAATCTCCCACAAGCTGTTCATAGCAGTGAAACACAAGGTCTGAGGGCCTAATAACTGGAGGAGACCTTTGAAACAAGCTGTCTCACCGGTAATCAGACAGCACTGAGGCGGAACAGCACACAACATTATACAGGAGCCATAGGAGAGATGGAAATCAGGATATTATGGCAAGAATAAAGTGGAGGATATTTAAAGGTGCACTGTGTAATATTTCTGCTGTGGGGCACCAGCACCTGCTTGTCCAGTGTATGACATTAATTAAATTACATGTTGTTCAGTGACTGATATATTGAAAATAATTGAGAAAAAAATAGGCTAAATAATTATCATAGATTTATTTTTATGCACTAGAGGAAATCTTATTTTTGTGGTAGTACAACAGCTACTTTTTTACTTTAAAAAAAAAAAAACAGTATATAACATATGAGACCCCCCCTCCCTCCGTGTATCATTATATTTTTTGTAGCAATATGTCATAGTTTAAAATGTGTGACTTCTTACTGTGAGTGGGGAGAGGGAGTGGGCTCTCCACAGATCTGACCTGTAAGTTGATCTGGTGACATCACTTAACTTGTCTCAATAGGTGTGGTGAACCCTCCACCAGAAAAGTTCCATAGTGCAGTTTTAATTCAATGCGAGCTTAATTAAACTTATAGTTTTTTTATTGTTGTTTTTTTTACTAATGCAAGTATGCGGCTCAGCTTTGCTGCCTCTTTTCAGTTTAATTTGGATATATTGATGTAAAAACTCATAGTTAAGACTGAACTCATAGAAGGGAATAAGAAAAAAAAATAGACCATACTTAATTTTTGTCAGCTTGTGTGAGATTTGTAATAAGAAGACATCTGTTCATGTAAACAAGAGGCTGGGCAACAAGAGTCCTACTTATTCAAAGCAGGTACATTAAAAGCATCAATGCATATTGACCGTGGCCGAGAGTAAAATGTGTTTTAAAACATTGTACTCACTCAAAGGTGCTTTTCTTGTCGAGGGTTCACCACTCGCTCGTCTCCATGGAGATGAATGCTTAGCTTGGAAAGTTTCGCAAAATGAAACAGTAAACCCCTCTATCTTGCAGTTATTCAATTTGCTAAAAAAAACATGCATTATTATAATGTTACATCTCCAGAGATCTGGGGTCTCATTTTAAAGCAGAATGTGCAACTCTCCTCACATTCCTTCATGAACTTTCCTCTTCATAGATCACACCTGCAAAAGAAATCTGTGCTTATGGTCCCGTTTGATGCCACGCCTCCATTTGACCATTACAGGACAATGCACAGTGGGGTGGAGCTTTGGTACCAGTGTGTGTGTGTGTGTGTGTGTGTGTATGATGACAGTGTCTTTGGACGTTGGACACTTGTTCATTAACTTTAAACACAACAAAATCCAGGCACTCCAAAAAAGTAAAAACTGCACAATAAAAAGTATAACATAAAAAACAAGACAAGTCAAAGTCCTCATTCAGACCTGACTGTAACCTTTAGATCCTTTTTTGTGTATCTTTGCCTGGTGGAATAACCAGCTTGTCCCCAAAGAGATATATTTAAGTGTCTGTGGAACATTCAATAACATGGAGACAAACAGGTGGTGGACCCTGCTCCAGAAATATTTTTTAGTGCACCTCTAAAATTATTCTTTTAAATCAATGGTACCTGAGCACAGCAAAACTTACCATAACATAACCATTGCCTGTGAAAACAAATATCTGGTTAGCCTCTTAATGAACTGAGTTGGATTATGTATTTTACAGTTCTTTATTTTCTACAGTTGCATTATGGAAACTTTCCCCTTTTAATACAATTGATCTGAGGACCTCAGTCAATCAAACCAATTGTTAATTATTTTAACTTGTTTACCTTTGATGTAATTTGAAACCCAGTAATAGTTCTTCTTCCAGTTTCCATCTATGTAGTCCTAGTTTAGTCCTACATTTTGTTCCTTTTTGACCTCCTTTTCTTCAGATTTAAAACAACGGAAGTCAGTTCTATTTAATATGCTTTTGTAGCCCTGTAGCTCAGTGACTGCTTCAGGTAACATTACATGACGAGATGGATGCATATGTAAACTACAGTGTGTTTTGTATGTACCACTATTTTTCCATTACTACATAACTATAACTGTCAGTCTGCATTAACTCCCACTTGTTGCCTTGGGCTTGTCTCTGGCCAGAATCATCATGACCACTTCAGCTGCGGGCATCTATGGGAACTTCGGACAAGCTAACTACAGCGCGGCGAAACTGGGACTGCTCGGACTGGCGAATACTCTGGCCATTGAAGGAGCGAAATACAACGTTCACTGCAACACCATAGCTCCTACGGCTGGATCGCGCCTGACTGAGACCGTGATGCCCCCAGGTAAACACTGCATGAATATGGAACAGCGATGTTGGGCAAAGAGGGGGTGGCTGGAACATCATAATTCTTGTTTTATTTTAGGTGTCTGGCTTGTCAAATTGCAACACTGAGTTTGAATTTACAAGCAGGGATGTCATAATATTGCATTTTGACACTATTCACACCATGACCAAACAATAATGAAATACTTGTTACAACTTTCAGAGACGAGACAGCCTTATCGGACAGTAAAACACTTTATAATTAGATGCAGACAGTACACAGCGGACTTATTTTGACCTCAAGAACTGCTTATACAATATATCTGTTCTTGGGCAGGACAAAATTTGCTCAAATATGTGAGAAAAGACATTAAAGATTACTTCTATGGGGTAACAACGGTCTAACATGGCTAAATTTAGGACCTTTAATCTTGATACAGGTAAAGTTCTACTCTAATCAATGCACATGGGGTGTTTTTAGTCAACCAAGAATTCTTAATCGACTACAGCTCTTATTAAATCCATAATTGTTTCCTTAAAACCATCACAGATATCTCATTACCAGCTCCTTATTTAGTTCTGGCTTTCTTGCTTCAGTACCTTCCCATCCCCCATTGCATGCTGGTAATATGCTCGTATATCCTGACCATCTTGAGTCTGCTCTGGGGAAAGGGACATTAACCGAGAAATTAAAGTAGCACTTTTGTTTTCCTGCCGCGATGGACCACACGAGCATCTGTTACACGGAGCTAAGCCAACTGTCCCGGGATGGGCTCACCTTAGTAATGACTCCCCTCCATATGCTGACTTCACTGACTCAGGCTTTTCTGCAGTTACTAAACATAGATCAGGCAAACAACCGCAGTAGCTCTTGTCTGTGTGTTTTTGTAAGTTATATGTTATGATGAGGGAGATATTGTCAAAAATTTTAATCTCCTAATTTTTTATGATTTATTCTTGGGGTTTCAGACACGGTATACACTGATACGATACTGGTATTGGATATCGGTAGCAATATTGAACATTTTGGTGGAGTAGATATTGGCCCCAAGATATTGGTTCAGTCGATGTCCCGTATGGGTCTATGAACTGTTGTAATCAGACTATTTGCTTAACAATATTTACCCAAAATCTTTTAATATTGAGCTGTTTTGTAATTACTATATACAATATATTAAATAAGTTACGAAACACATTTGGATAATTGTTTTCCATATGGCATCTGTGTTTAAAGGAAACAAATCATATTTTTATCTTCTTCTCTGGTATCGGGTGATGTAGTATCGACATCAGTATCAAAACAGAAAAAACTGGATTGGTGCATCTCTAGTTAAGATCATATTGTTTGCATCCAAAATCATTTCTGTCCTGCATTTATTAATTGGTATAATTGTGACTACAGTGGCTGAGGTTGCACTGAAAATCTGATTATTTTTAGATTTTTGACAACAGCAAAATCATGTATTTTCTGTCTGATCATGATCCTTCTGATTACTCACATCAGATTTTACAGTTTGAATGTCATTTTAAGGTCCTATATTACACAAAACTGACTCTTGTGAGCTTTAAGCCATGTTATAATATTGTTACCTCAGCAAAAGAGTTGTATTTTGTTTCAATTCACACATATTTGAGCAACCTTTTATAATTAGTCTGTCTACATCTCAGAGCTCAAAATGCTCTGTTCCACCTTGTGATGTCATGCAGTGGTAGTTTTCAATTTAACAGCTACCGTTGATCCTTTTAGTTCAGTAAAGGTTGGCAATTCCACATCTGAAATCATTCAAATGATGAAACAAAAGACAACTCCAGATGCAATAATATTTTTTATCAGTATTAGAAATATGAAAGTAAAAGTAAATATACTATGTCAATAGAATATGCAATAAAGTATATTTTGTTTTGCCAGTATAGTCTAAAATGTTATTAATTAATTAGCCACCTGTATTTGTTGTGTTTTTATTACAGTTCATCTTTATTACGGACTTATGGTCCATTTTTAAAACCTATAAGGACAAGGACAATTCAAACAATAAAACATTTATAGTTTTGTTTCATTCGTGCATTAAAGTAATCTCTCTATATTTATTGTGTACTAGTTTGTCCTTGTAACTGACTACTTATGCCTACTTTGTGTTATTTTCCAGACCTTTTGGAGAATCTGAAGCCTGAATATGTGACTCCTTTGGTCCTTTGGCTCTGTCATGAAGATTGTCATGATAATGGTTCACTGTTTGAGGTACAGTACAGAGTTAGAATTTTGATTAGTACTGAAAACTAATACAACAGTACAGTTTTCATTTTGTGTGGGTGAGTTGTTAGCTTTGTAAAATAAATGTTTAAATATGTTGTGAGGTTGCTATATTTTAGTAAGTTAAGTTATAATGTAAGTTTGTAATAGTGTGTGTCGGTAGGAAAAAATAAAAGTAATTCTGTATCAGATTTTTTTAAAACTACATCTTTACATTTCATCTTTTCCTTAGGTTGGCGCTGGCTGGGTTGGTAAATGTAAGTACAGTTTATTTCTTTGTTTAGCAGATTGTATTAAAACTTTAAGTCATTGTTCATGCTTATAAACTTTTGTATGTTGTATGCAGTGCGTTGGGAGCGTGCTAAGGGAGCCATTGTGAGACATAAGTCCCGCCCCATGACTCCAGAGGATGTGAGAGACCAGTGGGACAAGATCTGTGACTTTACCAATGCAGACAAGATCGCCACAATTGGAGGTGAGTTTTTCCTGTGTAAACAACCCTTGTACTACTTTGTACTACCCCTGATTACTAGATAGTAATTATTCCAGTAAGTAGTGGCCCTGTATGGAGAAGGAGAAAGACAGGAATTTTCATAGTAATGGTGTATAGAACGCAGGGGAATAAACCAACTTGAGTGAATCACAAATTTCAGTGTGTAAATGAAAAAAAAAAGAAAACAACTTTTAAAATCTCTCTTGATAAAATATATACAAAATATATACAAAATTGACTCTTAAGTGTTGGACCAGCCCTGGTTGTACCCTAGTGTACAGGGTTCCCACGGTCATGGAAATTCTGGAAAAATCTTGGACTTTTCTAAATTCATTGAACGTTTTTGAAAAGAAAGAAGAAAAGAAATTTTTGTATGTCTTTCAACCAAGTACAGTGTTCTGTTAAGTTATCTTTAGGCTATTATGATTAATTCCAAACGTATGCGCCTTTTGTTTAGAAGAGACGAAGATAAGTGCATTGACAGTATTTTGAATGTTAAAAAAAAAATAATACCAAACCATAAGGTGAGTTGAAAGGGTTAACATTCCATATTTAGCCCTAAAAGTATGATCAACTCTACACATGTAAGTGACATAAAGTCATGGAAAATTCACTTTAGGTCATGAAAAAGTTATGGAAAAGTTTTGAAATTTTGTCAGTGAAAAAGAGTGGGAACTCTGAGTGTAACTAAGTGAACATTCTTCTTACTGATAGGTTTGAAAGTGTAGTATGTAACTTTTTTGGTGAAGCGTCTGTCACCTGCTTGTCTCCATGGAGATATTATTACTTTGTTTCTGTCTCGCATTTATTTAAGTATAGGCATTTTATTGCTGCAAAAATGAATTGCTGTAGGAACAAAATTGAAACACGAATTCCTACTGTGAGTGAGCTCGCCTTTCCAAAGAAATGATCTATGACGTATACTGTATTATGGAACATTCCAGGCTAACCAATAAGACAAGAGACAAGTAACATTTTTTATTTTTTTTTTTTACAAGTTTATTTATCAACATTTTCAATTTAGAACAAACACTCCACAACAACAACAATAACAAAACAACAAGAACAAGCTCACTGTTTGTGCCAGATAATCACTAAAATACACTGTAAACATAAAATACAATCAAGTAAATAAAAAAATATAAATTAAATAAACAAAATTAAATCACTAAGTTAAAATTCACATTCTATATGCCATATATTCTGTAGCCAAATAATAACAACATAAATATAAATAAAATATAACATTAAAGACAAAATAGACACAAAATTAAAAACATAAAAAAAGTAAAACACACACAAGCACACAATGGGACACACACATACAAAAAAGCACAGAGTACAAATGTCACATAGTGTAGCTTTAAGTCAATAAGAACACCCCCACCTTGCCCTCACCCAACAGGTCTGTGTCTGATGTTGCTGATTATCGTCCGCCCTGCCTTTATAGATGGAGCAGGGCTGTGTTAACATGGGCTCTGGGGGTGGTGGTCCCCGGTGGACACTGGCCCTTCTCATTAGCATGACTTTGTACTGCCTCATTTGTAGCTTATTACACACCGCTGCTTCTGTAATCACCCATCACTCCAGTTATAGTAATTAGTAGTCTTCTTGGGTTCCCTCTGTTCCCACTAAAAATTCACCGTACTTTAAATTGTGTTCTCTAGTTTCTGCTCAGGCTAGTTCTGAAATCTTTCTAAAGGTCTTGTATTACACAAAATTGACTCTTGTGAGCTTTAAGCCACCTTATAATGTTGTTACCTCCTCAAAAACACCTGGAGTTGTGTTTTGTTTCATTTACAAATATTTGGGTGACAGCTATTTTGTTCAGTAGAGATTGGCAATTCTAGGGCTGAAATAATTATTATTAGAATTTTTTGGCAATAAATGTGGCAGTAATTACAGTATTAAACATGCTACATTATTGTAAGTGTTTATACAGTATTGTGGAACATTCCAGAGAAAGCAATAACATTTTCATGAGACAAGCAGGTGTTGGATAGCCAGGCTGACGCTACCTAGTGCCTCCGCTCAATTTAATTTCTCATCAATGACTAGGTCAGGAATGGAAATACACTACACAGTTTACAAGAATCCCAGAACTTGTAGACCACGCACCGGCCAATCAGTGAAGAGCTATGAAGCCATGACGTCAAACTCAAACACCTGTCTGGGTCCCTTTTATGGTACAGCACAACAGTAAACAAAGCAGTCAATATGGATGTAGACGATGCTATACATTTTGTGTTGGCAATGATTCTCAAGATCAAGGATTTAAAGCCAGAACAAAGACAACGTTTGGTGAATTTTATCAAAGGGAAAGCCGTTATTGGTCTTCTTCCTACGGGATGTTGCATATTACATATGCCACAACCAAATAGCAGCGATTGTTTAAATGATAAAAAGTACCTGCCTACTGTCGAGCGAATGAATCCTAATGCTGCAAGGTCAGACAGTTTCCACGAAGTGAAACCGGCTGATGAATCAGGCTAGGTGTCGGACTCTCCACCACAAAAGTTCCATCGTGCACCTTTAAGAACTGTGTCAGAAAAGGCCTTATTGCTGTTTTCCGATGGTGAGGACTTGACTTAAAACAGAAGGATGTGTTTATTGTGGTAATATAATACGATATAAAAATCTGAGTTAACTACCAGCACCCCCTTAGTGAAAGTGAGTTTATTGTCCTTGAATAATGACTCTGTTAGTTTTGGATCCTCTGGAGTAAAAGTAAACAGAGTAAACAGCCCTGCCTGGTGTGCTAGAAGAACTTAATATGTGCATCTACATTAAAGGTCCTATTTGCCTCTACTTTAAAGTCATATTAAAAGGTTAAAATGTTGTTTCCTACTCAAAAATATACCTGGAATTGTGTTTTGTTTCATTCACACATGTTTGAGTAATCCATTACTATGACTCTATCTACATCTCAAAAACTCAAAATGCTTTGTTCCACCTTGTGATGTCATGAAGTGGTAGTTTTCAAGTTAATGCATAGTATGGCACTTTAAATCAGTGGTCCTCAACCTTTTTAGCGCCACGGACCGGTTTCATGTCCAACAATATTTTGCAATATTTTTCTGTGGCGGTGTGGCAGGGTTTAGTCCTGGTTTAGTCCTGGTTCAGTCCTTGGTTAGTCCTGGGTTAGTTCTGGTTTAGACCTGGTTTAGTCCTTGTTAAATTGTGTTTTAGTCCTGGTTTTATTCCTGGTTTAGTCCTGGTTTAGTCCTGGGTTAGTCCTGGGTTAGTCCTGGTTTAGTCCTGGTTTAGTCCTGAGTTAGTTCTGGTTTAGACCTGGTTTTGTCCTGATTAAATCGTGTTTTAGTCCTGGTTTTATTCCTGGTTTAATCCTGTTTAGACCTGATTTAGTCCTGGTTAAATCTTATTTTATTCCTGGTTTTATTCCTGGTTTAATCCTGGTATTGGTCCGTGGCCTAGGGGTTGGGGACCCCTGCTTTAAATAAAATTAATAAGTGTCTTGAAAAACACACTGTGCAAACATACGTTACTCCACAGATCTGACCTGTATCCTGTCTCCGTGGACAGACATATTTAACACATATTTACTGTGGACCTTTCTTGGCAAAGCAATAATATCTTTGAAGACAAACAGGTGAAGGATCCCCCAAGTCTTTATATTTATTTAGGTAGTTAATTGAGATTTTTTCAGATCGGTTTCCATTTTTTAAGTAAAAAAAAAAAAGGTTTGAAGTTAAATCGGTCATAATCCTATTTTTTTTAATTTAATACTTTAGGTGTCTCTCAGTGCAAAGAAACTTGACTACAAAAAAGGTATTAAAGCAGCAGTATATTCATCTATCTCTTTTTTCATCAGCCCAATGGGCCATTAAAATATGAATGTAAGGGAAATTACCATCATAGCCGTCTTTATCCTCTGTGAACCATGGAATATAGTCACAATTGGAGAGATCTGAAATAGCATAAAAGCATTACATGTCTTTTTTGCAGTGACTTTATTAAAAAAAAGTCTACAAATTTAAATGGGGTGTAATTTCAAACGATATTTAGAGGTAATGGCTGTAACATTTGCTTCTACTGGTTTAAAAGCGGAAATGCAATCTCAGTGGAACCTCAGATGTTCTTAGCTGTCATACACTGAGGACATACAGTGTTGGGAAGAATACTTTGAAAATGTATTTAGTTACAGAATACTGAATACCTGAAATTGAATGCATTTTGTAATGTCTTCTGATATATGGTATTCTGAATACTTGGAACATTACACCATTTCCTATCTCTATGTGTTAAAATCACACATGCACACACCATAAGAGCTGTATTTTCTATTTTTCCCACTAATACTGTGTAGTTTGACTAAACCGTATGATGAAGTACTGCAATGTATTCCTTTGATGTTAGGAAAGAAACTGTACTCTGACACCACCAAATTAAAAAGTAACAGTCAAAATTAATATTCAGGATACATATTTTACACTACATCATGTCCTAGAGAGCCCTTTTTGGATTATGGCTTTGTGTAGGATTTTAAGATGTTTTTGAATATTTTAATGCACTTATGGAAAAGTTTGGATCAGTGTTTTCTGTTGTAGGTCTATATAAATAAAGTTTGATTGAAGTTTTTATTAGCTATAGCTCCCTCTGGATTCTGGGACATTCACAGGACAGAAATTAACCTTTCCTGAGTAGATTTTGTATGATTTTGAGCTGTATCAGAACAAGTATAAAACCACATAGACGAGTATACGAGTGTGTACATGGACCATGATGGAACCTACCTGGAAGACAGAGAGATTACACAGATAAAAAAGAATGTATTAATTAGGGGGGTGCAAAAATATTGAAATATCAATATATCGTATCGTTTAATGTGATGATACAGTATTGATATTGTGGACTGCTGTATCGATATATCGCCAAGAGGATTATTTGGTTTATTTTACACAATTATTTTGTTACAGAGCCACAGTTTTGTTGCTTTTTCAGAGGAAGGAAACTCATTTATGCGACACATTTAACATTTTCACTATTTTGATGATTAAAATGGGTGTGTTTAATATTAACTTTGCACAAGAAGTGGTTTAACAAAGACTTTTACTATCACAGCCATGATTTAGCCTTTATTTTTATTAAACAGTATCGAATCAATTTGAAATATATCGTATCAAACTGACAGTGCACTGTATCGAGATATGTATCGTATCGTGGCTTGTGTATCGAGGTATGTATCGTATCGGCAACTTCTTAATGATACCCTACTGGTAATATAAAAGTAAATACTGTGATTTTGAGTTGAATATCACATTCTTGTCCAAAATTTTCATTGTTGTATCGGTTTCTCTCTTGAGTATTGAGTCTATTCGTTGGTACCGAAATTGAGTTTGAAACACTAGGAAGCACAGATAAGTATTTTCATCCTTAGCAAACTGTCTTCTCTGTGTTACTAATAGAACTCATCACCTCAGTTCCTCTGCACTGTTGTGACAGGATCTTGTCTGTCTTAATGTCTGGTCCTGATCTGTGTTTTTCCTTCTGTCTGCAGAGTCGGTTCAGTCGTTGGTGAATGTGCTTTCTGAAGTGGAGTCTGGAGGAGCGGTTGAAGCCAATCCCACGTCCTCTATGTCCTCAGCTTCAGGGGTCAATTATGTGAGTGCAATATTACATAGCATGTGTCAACTCAAGGTCCTGTATTACGAAATTATGAATCTCATGAGCCTTTAGCTTTTACCTCATCAAAAAAACATACCTGGAGTTAAGTTTTGTTTCATTTACACATGTTTGAGTGATCTTTTTTATTAGTCTGTCTACATCTCCGAAGCGCAAACTGCTCTGTTCCACCTTGTGATGTCATGTAGTGGTAGTTTTCAAGATAACAGCTCCTTTTACCTTTTGTTCTGTGGAGATGGGCAATTCCAGTGTGGTAGAAATTTTCAGCTTGTCCAAGAAAGGGTGGAAGTAAAAGGCTGGAGACCAACTGGATGTCTTATAAGCAGGAGAAGTTTATTTACCATCAATAATACAGGCCCGGGGAGAGATGTTCAAGCCCCTCGACTATGCTTCCAAAGGAGGAGGTTTATGAAGCAAGTGTGGTGAGACTATGAAGTCCAGTAGGCACCGGTTAGACTGCAATATGCCACAATTTAGATAATGGTATGCCAAGGGAAGATGGCCATGTTACTATAACTCCTGTGAGTAAATGTTAAACTGAGACATGTACATGGAGGATAAATTACTTAAATTCTCTTACATCCAGGGCTGAAGTTATCCAAATGATTCAAGTGAAGGTGTGTCTTCCTCTATTACCACATAACTTCACAAGAGAGTTTTCTGTTTGAGAGAAGAATGCAGTATGCAGAGTTTGAGCATTAATCATGCGAAAGAAAGTAAACACAACTCCAGCCACCTGCTTGTCTCAGTGAAAATGGTATTATGTCTATTCAATTACAGGTGTTTATTGTTCAAAATTACCTTAAAGAACATGCATTCATACAGTGAGCTGAAACTCTTCTCTGCAGATCTGACCTTTTAACTTGACTTGAAAGCGTCACCTGCATGTCTCTATGGAGTATGTGTTTAATGCCAGATGGCTGGCCATGCTAATCAAAGCAAAAACAATAATGTGGTGGACCCTTCACCAGGGAAGTTACATAGTGTACCTTTAAAAAGTGAATAGACCATAAACTTACTAGCTAAAAATCAGAATCAGAATAGGTTTTATTCATAGACTGTAAAAAGAAGTGGACTAAAGGAGTGTGACGTTACCCCGTAGCGTTTGGCTCCAGTCAAATGAAGCTCAAATTTGGAGCCAATTTCCATATTAGGAAGAGGAACTAATTTACAAACAAAATAGCTACATAAAAACACCAGGATCATGTAGAGTGGGTTAATAAGAACGTTTTAAGACCAAAATGATGAGGCTCACATCAGCAGTTACAGAGAGAGGGGCAACGTCTTTTCAATACAAAGTGAATTGGAGCCAGAAGCGTGCCCATGCTCACTTCTGAAATCAGGTTGGCTGTGTCCATTTATATAACGTCTATGGTTGCACTTATGGAAGTATATGCTTTGGCAACTATGATAAAGTAAAGGCATGCATAAAAATAAAGTTTAAAAACCTTGAATACATTTTGTAAAACTACTGCATCCATTCACTTACAACTTTCTAACAATAACACCTGGCATTTTCTTTTTTCAAATTCACAAGTAAGAAAGTCTTTCACATCGCCATTTCTGTCGCTTTATCTCTTTTAAAGCGTGAAAGAACATTGAATCCTTTGTGTAGAGTGGGGTTTTTCACAGCCTGTCCCTGTCATAACTTTAAGCAGTGTATGAGTTTCTGTCTGGACCGGAGATTTGAGCAGATCTCACTGTTCCCTCTGGACTAACATGGCTGCCGCGTCCTCAGCTGACTGGGCTTGTAGAGAGCTCTAGGACTTTAGTTTAGTCGATTAAAGGGTTTATATTCTGCTATCTATGTTATATCCTCATCAGAAACATACCTGGATTTGTGTTTTGTTTCTTTCACAGATTTGAACACACAAATCCTGCATATTTAGGCTTATCTCAAACCAGAAACACCCTGTTCCACCTTGTGATGTCACTCCATAAACTTTCACTAGAATCATTTGGATTATTTCAGACCTGGAATTGCCAGTCTCTATTGAACTGAAGGTAAAAGTTCGCTGTTTACTTGAAAACTACTGCTTTGTGACATCAAAAGGCAGAAGTCAAAAGGTGGTGACAACCAAAATTTATATAAGTTGACTAATCTATTTATTTAGATAAGGATTTATATTACAGTTAGTCATTGAGCTATTGTTTCCTAGTATTTTCTTTCTTCACAAATAGTTGTTTTTGAAGTCCCGTGCAGTTGTAGTCTTGTGAGTGCAGTTATCGTTTATAGTCGTTTACAGTCGTCCTATCGATCGATTAGTCGATTAAAAAGGAGATGTGGCTGAAGCTCTCAAAACTATCATGTATCTGTATGTATTTGACCCAAAGTAAACTAGACCTACTAGACTTCTTGCTTTTTTTCTAGAAGGGTCTAAGGATCAGAAACAGTATTTATCCATTTGTTTGTTTTCTAAAAATGTTGGCTAATCTGTCTGTCTCTTATTGAGTGCTTCACTGCTGAATTTTCTAACTTTCTGTTGGTTTAATCAATGATCCTGTGAAGCCCCAAGAAGTGACTGCTGTTGTGATTTTTGGCTTTACAAAAATACATTGAGAAATTTTAACTGAAGTAGAGTTGTATGGGAGTTCATGTAAAAACAAATATTTATTTGGAAAAAAATACCAGGAAACAAAATATTTATATAAAGACAGATTAAACTTTATTTTATTTTTTATTTATTTAACCTGCCATATTTCATATATTATAAAACCCAAAAATCTTCAGCTTACTCAGTCACTCATTAACTTCTCTTTTGTGCTGTAGTGCCATATAAATCTGTATAATTTAAAAAATAATTAGTCTGCTAATACAAATTGGTCAACTAAGACAGCAGTCCCCAACCTTTTTTCTCACAAGGACCTGTAAAAAACAAAAATTTTATTCCAGGCAGAGCTGGTAATAGTAGCACAAAAATCATAGAAGTCTTAATCATAGTTGGAAAAAATTGTCATAATACTCATGTTTGCTGTTTACCAGGTTAATTTGCTCTATATTTTCAGAGTAAACACATGGTGGTAGACGATAAAAAGAATTAAAGTATTATATAAAGCACTGTAAAGTATGAAGTATTTTTCTCTGAGGACCTGTACCAAATGGCCCACGCCCAGGTTTTGGACCCTGGCTCAGTGGTTGGGGACCCAAGGACTACATCGACTGATTAATCAACTTAATAGCTAAAGGCCTACAGCCCTACTTTTGCCACGCCCCCTTTTTAGTCATCTAATAGACAAGTAGAACATGTCTTTAGTCGCCTTTAGCCCTGCTGGAGTGGTCCGTATCGTCTCCCTCTCCATGCTTTGTTGCACTTTAAACCGCAGTTCCTGCTCTGGCTCACTGAACACAAGGACACTTTCGATCTCACCTCAAAGGGATCCCACTTGTTTTTATTACTGGGTTTCAAAACTCACTTTTTTACTGCAGCCTGAAAGAAATACACTCACCTACAGTTATAACACTAGCTGATGTACCATTGTCATAAATACCCATCACCCAAATGCTAATCGATTCTAAAACTAGAATCAAAACAAGACTCACATTTTAACAGGTATCAGTACTAAAAACATGCAAAACTGTACCTTTTCTTGATAGTTTCAAAAGCTCTTGATCGAGTACATCAAAACCAGAGTAAGACAAGACAATATGATTAAAAATCAAAAAGAAATCTAGTCAATTTAAAAATAAATAAATAAATAAATAAAATAAATAAATGAGACGGATTTTCATGAATGAACTCAAATATCACTGTTGTTGCACACGGTTAATCTAAATCAGTGTCAAGCTCAGAGAAGTTGTTAGGAGTAGTAGAGTGGGTAGTACTCCATTACATTTACTTTTTAATTGTACTTTTATTTGAATAATATATTTATTGAATTAACAGTACTCTTTAAGTTTTGTTTATTCTTCCCACTGAGAGTCTACCAATGGTGAAAGCTTTATGTTGACAATATGAACATTTGTGTTTCTTGCACCGCCCCTTCAGATATGATTTAGTTTTAGTTAATTTTTGTGTCTATCCTTTGAAAATAGCTTATTTTGTGTGTTATTTCATGATTTGCCGTTTGAATTACATTGTCTTTAAATCAAATCATCAGTCATCATCAATCATCAGATGTTGGGTCAGAGTAGTTTTCGCAAATATCTTTTTAGTCTTACTTGAGCCATTTTTTGGACCACTACTTTATACTCCTAATATTATTATTTTGAGGTAATGTTACTCTTACTTGAGTAAAATTTTTGGATACAGTACTCTCTATTTTTATTCTGAACTACTTATTCTAAACTAAAAGCTTGTGCAGTTTCTTTGTACTGCCTTATTCAAAACAAACAATACTATGAGACCCTGGCCCCTTTCATTTTGGAGTGGCTTTGAAATCACAGCATTTTCTACGCTGAATTTAAATGCAGTTTTAATTAATATGTGTCTCCAGAGACAGGTCTCCCCAGAGCTCTTCAGCTGAGAGGTCGAGGCGAATCTCTCCATTATCCTGTAGCATAGTCCTGAACAATAGTTCACAAAGCAGCGTTATTACAAAAGGATCAGGACAGACAAGAACAGACTGGAGTTACACACATGATTTTGTTATGTGCTCACAGGAAGATTGATTGAGACTTATTAGCAACAAATTCAACATCTGTGCAGGCAATATTAATTCATACTGCGAGATGACAGTTTAAAGTCTAACTAAACACTAAATCACTTCTTAACTGTGTGTGTGGTGTTTTAATAGCATTGTCTACTATTCCTATTGTTTTAGTGTTTTTTTTGTTATTTTAGTGCTGGGTACATTTTGTTAGCCAGGCTGGTGAATTTTATCAAGGGAAAAGACATTATTGCCCTTCTTCCTATGGGATTTGGGAAAAGCTTAATATACCAGTTAGCCCTGCGGTGCATTACATACATCACGACCAAATAGCAGCAATTGGTTAAATAAAAAAAAAGTACCCGCCTACTGTCGAGCGAGCGCATCCTAAT